AAACTAATGTTACAGATGAGATAAACTAAAAAAATTTAGAGTAACAAAAAAAATTATAAAGATCTCTATCAAAACACGTTAAAATTGTAGATTCCAATAGTTATGCTTTCTCTAATAATAATAGTAATAATAATAATAATAATAAATGTCCTTTCATTTCTTGATTCTGCCTCTCCATGCTACCAGTCATTCAACATTTGCATGAGCTCCTTCTATAATCAGGGAATTATATATTATTTTTTAATTTTATTTATAAATAATTTTTAATATGTTTTATCATAATTATGAAAAATCTTAGAACACAATTACTTTGTCTGAAAATTTAAGGGTTAAAGAGAAAATATGTCCCAGAATTTTATTTTATTTTATTTTGCCAAAAGTGGTTTATATTCTTAAACTTTTGTTGGAAAAATGTCGTCCTTCTTTCAAAATCAACACCATGTCGTCTCGACTTTAACCGTTATATATATATATATATATATATATATATTTTACTCACGGATGCACCAATTTAATAGAGGTAACTCATTTAACATAATGACCACCAATTTAACGGAGATCACTCCTTTAACATAATTTATTATCATTGTTTGGTTAAAAAAATAATAATTTATTATCATAAAAAAGAACCTTTTCTCATGAAAAAATATCAAACGCGGCATAAATTAATCAAATTAGCCAGTTAACTCTGAAGTGTTGAGAAGCACATTTCATGCTTATTAACATGATAATCATGGTGTGTTAATTTTAAATCTGAACCGTCCAAATTAATTTTATAGTGGCCAGATTTAATTCAAGTTTTATTTTAAATAATTTCTTGTTTCAATAGTTAAGTACAAAATCAACAATAAAAATAGTCTTAAATGCAACTTCTAATAAACAAATTTTTCATTTAAAAAACACACAAATTTAAAAAATACATATATCTTGATCATTCAAATCTATTTAAATGGTTCAAATCTCGTCACAATACTAAATACTCATCCTTGTAATGAGTACACAGAGTAACCAATGAGGATCCCCTTGTATTTAAGACTTGTTGATTGAAAATGTGAAATTATGAAGAGATGCATTCACACTTTGCATCACTCTTTGTACCTTAAACATACATGATACAACCAATTAATGGATATACATTAATGAATATTTGAGTTATTCACTGGATCAAGGAAGAGAAACGTATTATGATCCATCACAACTTTTAAAATTGTTCAAAAAAAGTTAACATATGAATATTTTCCTAATTAATGTGAAATATATACATGAACTTTGCATTATTCTTTGTACCTTAATTAAACATTCATGATACATCTCACTTGATGACAATTAATGGATATATATATATATATATACATGAATAAGTATTTAAGCTATATACTTGTTCAAGGAAAACGTATTTACCTTCTATCTATATGTGCATGAACTTTTTTTTGTTATATATATGATGATCCACTACAACTTTTAAAATTGTGAAATATATTAGCATATCATTATTTTCCTAATATGAAAGAGATACATGAACTTTGCATTATTCTCTGTACCTTAAACATACATGATACATCTCACACTTGATATTCACCCGGTAGTCAATCAAAATCATATTTTAGTATTTTGCACAAGAAGTAACATGTATCTCTTGGTATTTGTTTGTAATTTAGGAAACTTAATTAATATTAATATTTATAGGATACTTATTTATATTTTTAGATCATTTTCTATAATTTTTAAAATCTTTTTATATAACATTTTTGGTTAACTAACGACCAAAGTTAATGTAATATTTGCTAAAATAAGGGTAACATTATACCATTTTTAGTTTTTAATTGTTGAATAAAAATATTGCACCAAAAAAAGTATAAAACACCATACACTTCCACGTCTAATATCCTAAAAAAGGAGAAATTAACTTGCACAAATGTAGTGTGCTACCTCATTTGTTGACTATTCAATAAAAATATGTCATATCAAGTAATTGCAAATATAAATTGATTCCACATGGGTGATTATAGATAGAAAAAAAATAAGAAATTAAACTAAAAATAAAGTCTTTAAAAATAATGACATATAATATTTTATTTGATTCAAATAGCATAATTTTATTGGATAGTTTACAAATGACATAGTGCCACATGTTCATGCAAGAATATTTCTCCTGAGAATGTTAAATAATGGTAAAGAATATAAGAAATAAACTGTATCATTCATAAGTCGTAAATAATACTACATATTTTTTTAGATACTATTAAAATATTATGACATTCATGTATTAATCTATGAATCTTGAGAACAATCATTACAGTGTCTTCATTTGGCCAGAAAAAAATATGGAAATGATATTAAAAAGGGATACAAACGTAATAAATATGGATGCATGTGAAGCCTATAAATAAGAAAGGACAATAAGCAAGTTTGAAAGAAGTGAACAAGACACAGAGAGGAGAAGAAGAAGAAGAAAACAAGCTAAGAGCCATGTCGCATTTCTATCCTCCTTGCTTCTCCGGTGGTTGCAGTGATCGAGCATGTTGTGCTCAAGGTATATATCACCTCTCTTTCTCTAACTATATTCTTCATTGCTTTATATTTATTAATATTCATGTAAAATGATCAATCAACATAACATTAATTACGTACGACTTGTCAGGATTCAAACATATTAGTTTTCTGAAGTGAAAAACCTGTTTAGTTTAATGTTTGAAGATTTAAAATTTCATTTTGAAACAAGAAAAGTTATGACTTTGTTTGGTTTTACATTATTTATAATTTCTTTTGGAAATCATATTTTAACTTTGAAGATCTCTTTAACCAGAAGCAACTGTCTTATTCGTGGTAAAGAAATCCGGGTAAAGTTTATTAATACAGCTCTCCTATTTTTTTCCCCTTTTTGCTCCTTTTTTATTTGTTATTCATACTCAACATTTTTAAAGATTTATTATGTTACTATTTTTTATTTATTTAAAATATTTTTTTAATTGAAATAATTTTAAGCGAAGTTTACATATATTTTCAAAAAAGGAGATCTCTATAATTAAGATAAAATTGAGGAAATGTCAGTGTATTTTACTCTTTTATTTTTTAATGAAATGAATAAAAAATAAATTGGATATAAATTATTTCAATAAACAATATACAAAAAAATCTATAAAAATCATAATTTTTTTAAAAAAATAACAAAAATATGGTGAACCAAAGCAAACTCATCTGATCATCAAAATCAACTTTGAAAATTACGATAACTCTGTTTTAAAAAAAATGTTGTATTTTTTTCTTTGTAAATGAAAAAAAGAAAGTGTTATTTATTTAAGCTTGAAAATACTCGAACATAAATTTAATACTAATTGTAAATATTAGATTTTTCTGATTCTTTTTTTGGGTTGACTGGATGGAAAGGATACAGAGATAGCTGGCCAGAAATGGTTGGGGCTGATGCTGACGCGGCAATAAGCGTAATCAATAAGACGAACCCATTGGTGACTGTAGTGAGGATCCCGCAAGGCCAACCTTTGCTCACTGACTTCTGCTGCAACCGAGTCTACCTCATCGTGGGTCCCGACAACAAGGTTGCCGCCCTCCCCCGAGTTGGTTGACCGTTGACTCCACTTCACCGTACTTCTTTCCCTTAATAATAATATGCATTAATCATTAAATAAACATGTTCCCAACACATGGGAATATCGGATGTTGCCTTCGTCGCTTTGTATCTGTCATTTCTCTTCTTACAATAAAGGGATGATTAGCTATACCCCTTGCATTTGTTTGATCAGCTATAAGCCATCATGCATTTATACAATTCATGAATGAAATATCGAAATACAATACGTATCTAAGATATCAATATTCTTATTTTTGAAAAATATAACGTACAGTATTTCTAAAATACACGTGTGTAAACTATAAAACATGCCAAAAATACAATTCCAATTCAATAAACCCAAACTAGAAGCACCATTACATAGTTGTTTGATAGTACTGAACACCAAAGAAACAGTTTTTTTTTTGGGTAAAAACACAACCATACTTTTTATTACTGCTATGAATGTCTAATTGTATATTGCCTGCAAAGATGATAGTTTTTATATTTGATTTATCAAAAGTCTGTCATTTTCAAAATTCTGGCAGCATCAAAAATTCAAAATAATCTCATGTATCTCCACCAATACCTCACATCTTAGTATATCCTTGATGTCTTACGTCTTAATATGTTGTTGGTGAGAATTTTTAAATAAATCAAAAGCCACTCAAAGAGTAAATCATTCTAACAATAAGAGCTTTAAAACATCATAATATTGAACAAAATTTAATTTTTAAAGATTTGCCTTCAAAGTTCAACCTAGAAGTATCAATCATATTTTAGAAATATCAATTACATATAATTTTTTTTAAAGAAAATACATCTCTTATAAAATATATATGTATATATGTATTGATTAAAATCTCAATAACATTACTCAAAAGGAGTACAAACTAAAGTCTCTAGATATCATCCACCACTTTTCATATAACAAGGTAGGAATTGATCACAAGAACAAAAATATTAAAATATTTTTCAATACTTTAAACTACGTATTTAAGAAATATCAACTCGCATATCAAATGCAACAAATGCGTCAAGCAACTTAAAGTATTAATGCAAATAAGCTTTTTTCATATTGGAAGAGAACGTATTCTTATTAGATTTAATCTGCAAACTTATTTTTTTACCAGATCAATCTGCCATCTCCAAAACATACAAAACAAAAGAAAAACGTATTTTCAAAACTACGTATGGCGCATTACATAGCCGTAAACCGCAAAAGGATTGAACGGAAATGTATTGTATTGTAGATCACTTTTAAGTTTCTATTCATTAATATGTTGCTTGAAAATTTCTGTTCGAACTAACAAAAGTCCAACTCGAGCAAAATCAAATCATGCCTCCGCCACCAAAACCTCGTTCTACCGGAAAAATGTGAGCATATTCAAATGTAATCTAAAGGAGGACTTTAACGAGATAACAAGAGAAATAGAATAACTACATTATCACCATATATCAATAAAGAATGGGTCTGAAATTGTCTGGAAAGAGTGTTAAATGACCAGGCAAGATGAATCAATCGTCCTTTAAATGTCAAAGGATTTAAATTAAGGATGCTGGTACTATGAGTGTGTTGTCTACAAAATCAAATGCCAAGCACCCTGTAGCGATGAACACGCATCTTTATTTCCCAGTGTCCACGATGTGATGATATTAACTTCACATCTTTATCCAAACCCGATCAGAACCAAAATCTTTTGAAACTATTAGCCTAGCATATAAGCTAAAAAAATTGCAGCATCAATGACAGGACAAAATTATCATGGGCTCAGCTGCGAGCCCCTACGAATGCCATATGCTCTACAAGGTCCAACACTCGGGTGCTGCAAAATAAACCATTCAACATAAATGATTAAGATGCTATTAAAAAAAAAATAAGAAAGACTACCAAACATTTCGAAGACAAAAGCCTTACTTGTCTAAAAAATAACGTCATCATAAGTTCAAGAATTTTTGCGTATAAATTACAATGATCTCATTCCAATTTCGCTCTACCAACTCCAGAGGTCCTAATTGATATTATAGACTCCTTAAGGGATCAAACATCAAATAATTGAAGCCGGACAAAACTCATCCTCTCATGCACTACGACAACATAATCGAGGGCACTAAATTAAAAATTGCATTCTTTTGTGGATTAAAACCGATATTTTATCTTATAACAAATTCAGTGCTTGTGCTTGTGCACACAAGTTCACATGTAAAATACCAGGTCATGCTGAGTTCTAGATATCAATACCTGTATCCCCACTCGTTGTCATACCAAGAAACTAGCTTCATGAAAGATGCACTAAGACCAATCCCAGCCTTAGCGTCAAAAATACTTGACCTGTTCAAATCAGAATCATATAATTTAGAGGGAGACGTTTATCCAAGAAATGAAGATAGATACAAGACATACACAGCTCTGTAAATTATTTGACAACTAATGGAAATAGGAAAATGAAGGTTTCTTAGTTTTAATTTAGCAAAAATGAAATCTGTTGTTTGCACTTTTGGGAGCAATGTTTAAACTAAAGTTATGCAGATCTTGTTTTATGGTGTCTCAATGTCCACCTGGGAATGAACAATTCCCCCATTTTATAGCAAAAGAACACTTTTCAGCACACATAAATTTGAGAAAGACAAAAGAAAATCAATAATCTCCAAGATGCTGATGATGGTTTTATGTCAAACACGAAGTGCAAGGCCAGCAAGAGAGATTTTACCTTGAATCACCAACGAAGTCATTAGAGACAACATCCTCTTCTGTGTATCCAAGAATGCCTTTAAGTGGTCCCTCTGAGGCGTACCTTCATTTTAGGAGTAGTGTATTAATAGATACCAAAAAGACGCAGATGATTAGTAGAGAACACTCCCAAATGAAAATTATGGTGAGGCAAAAGGCCAAAAGCAACAGACGCACTTTATTGCTGCTTTGACATCTTCATAGGAGGCACTCTTTAGAAGTCGACAGGTTAGGTCCACAACAGAGACATTGGGTGTAGGAACACGGAATGCCATCCCCGTAAGCTTTCCATTAAGCTCTGGAAGAACTTTCCCAACAGCCTAAGATTTCATAAATAATTAAACCAGTCACACTAACGTACACTGAACTAGGAATTATATTTTGACCATCTTACATCTCTTATGGGCTATTCAGCTTTTACCTTAGCAGCACCAGTTGAACTAGGAATTATGTTTTGACCAGCTCCTCGTCCCCCTCTCCAATCCTTCATTGAAGGGCCATCTACAGTCTTCTGAGTTGCTGAATAATGAAAAACACAATTATATCATGGATTGGACGCCCCACATAAACATGACAAATGAGTACAAGAACCAGTAATTGGCAATGTGATCAAAAGAGACCTGTTGTTGCATGTACAGTTGTCATCAAACCTTCAACAATACCAAACTCCTCATGAACCACCTGAAAATATAAAATTTAGGAAGAATCGGATGCTTTCAGCCTTTCATACAAGCTAAAAATATGAGGAAGGATCGAATGACTCGAAGATTCTTTTTCTTTAAAATTCATTGAAGTGCCCCAGACTTTTGAACCCTCAAATTCACCCTATAACTGGTTTCTGTGCCCACTAACTGACATCATGTTAAACTTGCGCCATGTGAAAACATAAACATTCTCATAAGAAATAATGTGACTAATAATTAATAAGTTTGGTAACACAGGAAGCAATCAAACCTTGGCAAGAGGGGCAAGACAATTTGTAGTACAGCTCGCATTGGAAACAATATCCATGTTTGGCTTGTATGTCTTCTCATTTACTCCAACCACAAACATTGGGGCATCAGCGGATGGAGCTGAGATTACAACTTTCTTGGCACCAGCCTACAAAATAATATTAACAGAATCCTTGACTTAAGACGTGAAGAGAAAGAATACAGAGGGTAAATGAAAAGAGAGAGAAGGGAGAAGGAGAGAACTCTTAAAAAACAAGTATTTGAACAAAGCAACCTTCAAATGTGCTGAGGCTTTCTCCATGGTTGTAAAAACTCCTGAAGACTCAACAACAAAATCAGTTCCATATTCACCCCATGGAATCTCTGCAGGGTCCCTGTATACAAATATATGTTTGTTAAGTCGAGTTTTAAAGCACTTCGACATCTATACTAATATTGTAAAATACTAGTGATGAACGCACTAGAAACATCCATTTGAAAAATAAAGGGTGAACGTACCTTTTGGTCTCAACTTTTATCTTCTTTCCATTAATCTCCAAGGTGGAATCATCCAAAACCTCAATGGATCCCTTGAACGGTCCATGAGTGGAATCATACTTAAACATGTACGCCTGGAAGAGGGAGAAATTACAGATGATAAAGCAAAATTGGATGAAGAAAGGTTAAAAATGAAGATAATGCGAAAAAGATGAACATGAAGAAGAAGAAGCAGAATCATTGCCCTCTGAGAATCTAAATTTCCTTGGAACCTTGGTTATCCAAAAGGTTTGATTTACATGAAAAGGTCTGATTGCAAAGAATATCTTATTATCTTACAATCTATAAAGACATCTTTTTTTCAGTTTTATTAGACGTTTGAACCTTGATCATCCCCAAAGAAAAAAAGAAGCAATAATCAACACCAAATGGAAAAATTCCACAGCAACAAGGACTGCCTACAAGAATGATAGAGTGAGATATAGACAGATACGAGCAGAAGAGAGGGTAGAAAGATAAAAGGAAGGAAGAGAGTTCCAGCACAGTTCTCCGGTTTAAGGTTCAGACAATTGCAGGCATGAGGAGAAAAGGAGCACAAAGACAAGTAAATACCATCACAGACTCAGAAAAGCACTAGTTTCCATGTGCATAAATTGCAAATGATCACACAGGGTACTCTTTGCATGTTAAAGTCCTTTTTGCATGGGAAAACAAAGAAATTGTATATAAATTAGCAATCCAGAAATGCATAAACTTCTACAAAAGGTGAAAGGCATTAATAATATTCTGCAGAGCATCCCAGCTGAGCAAACAGAAAAAGATCCAACGCAAGATTAAATCAAATGCATTGTCATGATACAAATTTTTCTACAGGTAGATGTGCATATTCCAAATCCCATATAAAACTACATCAAGATGGATGAAACAATCACTAGAATTTGTACAAACAACCATGAATATTAAATATTATAAGCAAAGACAAGGGATTGCTCATACATACCATATATTTAGTGTTAATGAAAGGATCATTAATTGCTACAACGTCAATATCATCCCTGGAAGTAGCTACACGCAACACCAACCTTCCAATTCTACCAAAACCTGCACAATTAAAGCAGACAGAATGTGTATTCAATTTGAAACAGACTGACTTAATTTTCAGAATACATTTTCATCATAAGACATCATTTCTCTTCAGACTTGATAAAAGAAAATTTTCATGCATAAAATTTATGACAAAACTCATTTGATACTTTCCTTCTTTTTTCATTTAGAAGGGTGGCTTATCCTCCTAAACAACAATGAGATCCTGTGGATAAAATTAAAATCCCATTGGGAGAAGAAATTGTCTGCTCTCAAGAAAGCCTATTGTCATAAACTCCAGTACCCCACAAAATGAATTTCAAGGTGACCACTATATTGTAAAGTCAAGACTCAAGACTGGAATGCAAAAAGGATACAGAAGAAGGTTGAAGCAAGGCAAAGTTTATAGGTCTTTCAAGGTCAATGCAGAATATATACAATGCAAATATATATCTATCAAAAGAAGAGTGTTATCAAATTAAAGTTTCACCAGGAAATACAAGTAACAATTGAGAGAACTTTAGTAACAAGAAACTCACCATTAATTCCAAGTCTGGTCTTCCCATCGCTCTTTGATTCTAAACAGACCAAACCAATCATGAATCATAATTAAAATATTAAACGTGTATTTTCTGACCATTACAGATGTTTTATTCTTACTCTGTACGGGGAGAGGAATTTCAGTTGCTGTGGCTTTTATAGGCTGCATACTCCGGGCATTGCAGTTTCTAAGCAAATTATGAAATTTCAGAATAAAAAAATACTGGAAGGATTGGAGCTTTAAAAGAAGTGACAGGAAAATAGGAAAAGGAGAATAAGAGCAAAGGCCAATTCTTCAAAAGTTCGAGCAACTAACTGTATGACTAATGATTCACTTGGGAGAGAAGTTCCAAATATGTTAGATTGTAACTTCAAAGATTTAAGATTGCTACTCGAGACATTGCACGAAACCTGAATCATACAAATAAGTAAAAAAATTATAAAATTAATTACTCGGCAATAATCAGAGAAACTAGTGCATCATCTTTAACAACGAGGAACCACTGGGAAAACCTCACAAACAAGGATTTAGAAGCAGAAGCTTTTTTCCGTACATATCATATGCAGTTTTCATTCGAAAGGCTTAGCTTAACACACTTTTTACAGTTAACTAGAAGAACATCACACATACAAGGTAGAAATGCTATTCTTCTTTTTTCATGGTAAGAAGACAGGGCAAAGAAAAAGAAAAAGGAATGAAAAACACCTGATCCTGACTCGAATAACACCACCAAACAATACTAGATTAAAATACGCGATAACATAAAATTAATTACCCTGAAATTGTCAGAGAGACATGTTCATCATCTCTCCTGCTCAGAAACTTCGAAGAAGCACTAGAAAATCCTTATGTCGGAGGATTTAGCAGCAGAAACTTCTTCATGTTTCCCACACACACTATTTTGCCAAAATGCATAGTTCTTAGCACTTTTTTTTTCTTTAGCTATTAACCAAGGGAACATGTCACAGACAAGTTCACTGTTTTCCTTTCTCTTCCCGTTTTCTTCATTACCAAAGAGATAAAAGGCAACCAAAAAAAAAAAAACAACCTAATCCTGACTCGAAAAGCAACATCACCAAACAAAACAAGATTAAAACACGCGGTAACGTAATTCCAAATGACAGCACACCTTGAAGCTATCAGAAGGCGAGGAAGAGAGAAGCGCAGATCTCAGCATAGAAGAGGCGGCCATAGTAGAAGCTGAAGCAGAAACCCTAGCCTTTGGAGAATGGAAGAGAGCAGGAGAGGCGGTAGGCGAGCGAAGGCTTGAGCAGGAGTAGCTTCCTTGTTTTTGCACCAACCAAGGAAAAATGCGAATATGGTTTTTTTTATATACAATTTGCGCAGCACCTTTGGAGTTCGGAGTTTCTTATGACGAAATGAAATACATATTCCTAACAGAACTACCCAAGCTGGCGCAGGAGCAGCGATCTGTTGCGGGTGAGCGGGAGCAGAAGAGTGTACACCCCAATTTTAGACGCGCGTGCATGAATTTCCTTTGATAGTTTGTCAAAAATCTATTTAATAAAAATTAATTTAATAAAAGTTTAAGATAAAATTTATATTTAAATATATTTTTAAAAAATTAATTTAATAAACTACAAGTTATTTAAATTATACATAATGAAATGTGCTTTTAAAATTTATAATTTTTAAAAAAAATATTAATTTATGATAATTCATAATTTTTATTATACAAATATAATATATGAGAATTAAAAATGTTTAAAAAATATATCAGAAATTTTAAATAACACAACATTTGATATTTGAAATAATAATAATAAATATAAAATATTATTTATTAGAAAAAATTATATAATAAATAATTCAATAAACATTAATATGATTAATTATTCAATTTAGATTAATTATTTAATCTATAATATATAATTTGATTTTTAATTGAATTGCAAATTGTATTCATCTCTCTATCACTACTATCTACATGGTTAGTATTATCATCATCAAGGTTCATTATATTTTCATTGTCAAATTATATATGATAAAAATTTTAAATAACATAAAATTTGATTTGTTAGATAATAAAATATAAAATATAAAAGTTGATATGGTGGACAAAAATTATATAAATAGTTCAATATACATTAATATTAAAAATTAATATGATTAATTATTCAGTCTATAGTGATAAAATTTGGATCTCAAAATATTATTATTTCAATAACAATTATATTTTTAATGAATTATTTTTAAATAAAAATAATAAATTAAACATAAGTAGCATAGTCAAATAAACTCCCAACACCCCAATTCACATTCCAAAAGTTTTAACATTTTACTTCCACCAACTTCATCACTTTTATCTACTTTAGATATATGCTTTTGAAAAGTTGGTTTGGCAAAGTTTTTAAACCCAAACAACTTTTTATTTTTAGAAAGTACTTTTACACTTCCAAAAAATGAATAGTTGAAAAACCGATCACACCCTTAAACTGTATTTGAATATGTGAATTTATTAAAGTGGTGTGATATTTTTTTTCAAGAGATTTTCTCAAGTAATAATTTTTTTGGTCAATTTAGTAATAAATAATTAATTAGTCAATAAAATTGGAAAATTAGTAATACCAACCATTAAAGTTTAATTTAATTGGTAAGGATTTACAAGGCTATCTCATGACCAAGTGTAATTTTCTTGTATAAAAATGAGAGATAAGGGACGGTGGATGAACGGTGGAGATTTGGAGTTCCATATAAGTTGTATGAGAGTGATGGTAGCTATGACATTTTAGGCGGAGAACTGCTTGTCCCTGTAGTGACCTCAATTTCACGATGGACTAGTTTTGGACTTCATCAGCTGTTTTTTTTTTTTTAATAATACCAAGACTATTAATACGAAAAATAGATACAAGTTATATTAACTTAAAAAATTAGATCTAATCTTTTCATCACCCATCATGTTTTGACAAAAAAGTGAGAGTTAGATTAAAAGCACAAAACTATAAATAAAATCTAATGCATTCTGTATACGTAAATGAGTAAAAAATTTGATTTGCGTGCATAAAATTTAAAAAAAAATTATAATGATTCAAACAAAGTGTGACATAATCAATGATGTCTCTAAAAGAGGTGGTCACTCTCATCATTCTTGGTATTATCAGTTGTTTTTAATATTAAAATTTAATCTTAACTAAATATCATTTTAAAAAATCAATACACAAGAAAATAAATAATAAATAATAATTTAAAAATTTAGAATCATTACTGTATTTTTTTTTTTTTTCAAAACGAACGAACAGCATTGAGAGATCGCAAAACAACACATGGAGAGTAAATGAAGACAAAGCTAAAGCAGAACGAACAAATCAGCTCATCACACCCACCTTGTTGTTCACAGCTGAAATGAAAGATTCAGATTCATCAGCGACAGTCTAATATGTATATATAAAATATGAAATTATAAAAATTCAAAACATATAAAATTAATAATATTAAAAAATAAAAAAATTGAGAAAACTGTATAACTAAGTTACCGCTGAAAATGATAATTTATCATTTATGCTCTCTAAAAATATAATTTTAGCTGTTTTATGACAATATCATACATTCGTTCAAGATACCAACACACAGCATAACTTCTTCAAGGATCGACAATAACACATTTTTATTATTTTATATTTTACCTGTCGTTGCCTAAAAAATATTTTACCTGTCAGTTTTCTAAGCTTTTAAATTTTCACGTATGGCTGGTCCTAAAAATCAAGGATGATTTTTTTTTAAAAAAATATCTATTACAAAATTTAATAGCATGATTATGTAAACCTAAATTAAGATTAATTTTTTTAGCTTATTATATGTAGGAGAGAATGATTTGATTGACTGACAGACATTAGTCATAATAAAAACAGCTACAGGCTCTTAAATAAATATGAATCTACTATTAATGCTTAAATTTGATGTAAATACAAATATAATAAGAGAGAGAGAGAGAGAGAGAGAGAGAGAGAGAGAGAGAGAGAGAGAGAGAGAGAGAGAGAGAGAGAGAGAGATTCAATTTCACTCTTGAGAAGCGGCAATCATTTGGAGAAGTGGAAGAGCCAATGTTTCCCTTTAAAAGCACGAAAGGTTGTTTTCTTAATCAAGTATAAAAATGAGGCAAGCTCTTTCCTTGATGTATACCACTTCTTCATTTCATCTAATTTTCTAAAGAGAGATGGCAAGGCTGACATTTAAATCATGAAAAATTATTTAAAAATTTAATTTAAAAAACGAAGTTTTCTCATAACTTCGAATTCCCTGTTGTTATTCCCTCAAAGGGACAGTGCCATTTAGAGTTACAGTGTGTGTTGGATGGGTAGGTTGGTCAACTATGGGTTGGTGGGAGTAGACTGAAAGAGAGTAATAATACAAATTATCACTATAATTATAATTATATATGAGATTTACATACTATAATAGTAATAGTAAAGTAATTGCATATGGGTTGGTGATTTTTTTTTTTTTTGGGTTTGTCGTCTCTTTTTGGTCAAAACAGGTGTGATGGTGGCTTTGTGTTGTTGTGGAGCAAGTGAGTTGACCTTGACTCCCAGCGTCACACGTGAGCAATAGCCAGTTTAGAGCCACCTAACCCTTTGCATTTGTAGGGCACTAAGATGAACCCTACCGTATACCTATTTATGCCACCCTCCCAAACCAACTCGTCATGTTTAGACGCGTCAAATATTGATTTGTTTAAAATAAACAACAAAATAAATTGTATATTTTTCATTTGGATTAATAATTTTACCTCCCTGTTGTTTAGACTAAAATATAATTTTTGCCCCGTGCACATCTGCTTATAGCCCACATGAGTTTTTTAAGAAAAAAGGTTGCTGCTTTCTATGAAAATGAATTAACGCACTAATTTAGAAATGGCACAAATTGGAGGAAGTAATGGAAAAAATTATAGCTAGTAGCTCTAAAAAAGCACAGAGTCATGAAAAAACTACTACTTGGTGTCTATAAGGGAAGAAGCCACACATATGCAAAGACAACTTTTCAAGAACTTTTCAACATTACATATAATCTCTTTGAACACTTCAATGATTCAACCCTAATATTTATTTGCCCATTATCAAAATATTGACCCTATATTATTTTTTACTTTGCCCAATGCGATTCTTGTTATCTTTTAGCAAATTCAACATAATACTGTTTTAGTGTGCCATGCATTCAACAAGAAGTATTGAAGTTTTTCAACAATTAATAGAATGTCAATTTTTAGCAAAATAATAGTAATAGTGTGTTGTCACTTTTTTTTCTTTAGTTTTTCATCTTTCATTTTTGGTCATTTCCTTTTTATCATTATATCATGGCTGCTCTCATTATGCAAGTATTGCATGTTTCTCTATCTTTATTTCTTCATTTCTTTTATTTTTAAACACTTCTATTTGAGAAAATTATGATAAAGGATCTTGAAAATTCACTATTTGATTTTAAAAGTCAAGAATATCACTCCTTTTAAAGACACACTTCTTTAACAAGCCTGGACAAAAAGCACCAGAAACAACTGTTAACAACTTTATTTTTAAATATTAACAACTATGTTTTTTTATTATTTTAGCTTGGTTCAAAAATGTAAATCTGCAAAAAATTATTTCAAATAAGTTCTTAGAGATTTCAAAATAATCATTACATTTCATAATACGTATTTATTATTTGTTTATTTTAATGGAATTTATTTGTTATTCTCCCTTATTAACGGGCATTATTTTTTTGTCTTTTAAAAAACTATCAAGGCATTTATCGGCTAAATTATATTTCTTATCCTACTAACTATATATATAATATTATAATTTAATCTCTTAATTTTATAAAGTATTTTTTTAGTCATGTAATCCTAAAATCATTAATTTTAAATGATTATTTTATATATCAATCATTGTTATTTAAAAAATTTAAACTTAATATGTTACTCCCTCCGTCCCTACATATAAGATGTTTTTAATTGAATCACTCAAACTAATAAAAATTAGTTATTTAATTAAAAGCATAATAACATTCTAATTTTGCCTTCTAATTATTGTAAATAAAAAAAAAATTTCAAAGTAAATTAATGAGAGTGCTTAATTTTTTTTTCTAATTTAATAAGGATATAATGGTCCATTCATTAAAAAACATGCTAATAACCCCTTTATATTTAGGGACAAAAAAGATTCTACAATACTTCTTATATATAGGGATGGAGGGAGTAACATTTAATTTGACAATATTTTGTCAATATTTAGAAGTTTAATATAAAAAAATTTTAGATGAAACTCAAATTAAAAAATTAAAAAAATACTTTATAAAATTATGAGATTAAAATGAAATCTTAAATGAAGTAAAAGAATTAAAAGATGAAAGATTTGTGAGTTCTCACTGCTATTCATATTTCAAATTGACCTATGTTTATCCGTGTGCTTTCCGTCCAAAACTTCATCTATTATATCTTGTGCTATTTATTATGTACAAATTTAGATTTGTTTAATAAATTATTGGATTATATATATATATATATATATATATGAACTTTTCAGTTATATTTTAAAATACTAGAGCAGCAACTATGCGCAGATTTGATCAAATATCATGTGAAGTTATCGCATGTCATCCAAGAATTAATAAGAAAAATAACTTTATTGCCATGCAATTTGGATTTTCTTACTTCTCAAATCTCAATGAATTTTAATCTGATTAATAACAACATCTGACCACAAATCACAATAATAAATTCAATTACAAAGTATGAATTAATAAGAGACTTAAAAGTACTAGTTAAGTTGGAAGAAGGGGAAAAATCACCTTCATCAACTAGAATTTGAGGTAAGTTTGGATTAATGATTTGAATTTAAATTTTAAATTTAAAATATCACTTTTAAAATTCATGTTTTTAAAATATTTTATATAGAAAGTTAAAAAATTTTAAATAAAGAAGAGATGAGTTAAGATTTGAAAGCGAAATTGATAAATTTATCCATATTTTAGTATTTTTTTAATTGATGAGAGATGAAAATGAGAGATAAAAAACTATACAAGAGTCATAGAGTATAAAAATAAGAAAATAATGAGAGATTTAAAATAACTAAAATGTATAAAAAATTTAAAATTATAAAAAAAATGTAATGAGAAATGGATTTGAATTTGAATCAAATCTAAATATATAATTTTTAGTGTATTCAAATGAAAAAATTGATCCAAATCCAAATTTTCATTAATCTAAAGACACTGTTATATTTTTTTAAATACATCACGAAGTCTAATTTACTTATGTAAATAGTTATAATTTATAATATAATAGATTTACTTTACGTATATATTTTATAAATAATCTCAATAATTATCACTCGTTGAAATTTGTTCTGGCTTATCACAATGCTTGGCAAGCCCATTATAATCTAGGATTTCTGAAAAATCTTGTCATTCTGGGCCTAATGGCCAGAGAAGTAACATTATTTAAAAAGAGTTACCCAAAATTGTTAAGAAAAAATTCAATAAGCCAAACTGTTGATGGACATGGGGTAAAAAAATACATACAACATTTCCTCCTGAAGTTTTAATGTGACAAAGTAGAAAGTACACAGTCTAATAATATATAATATAATATCAAATCGATAGATTATAGAAAATCACAATTTCGAACACTCTGTATTACATTCCAGATTCTGTGTAATATAAAAAAAAATGCGTCTAATTATATCAATATGGTTGTACTTGATTACTTAATTAACAACTTAAAAAACACGCAATGCTACCATCTAATATTAATAACTCATTATCACCACCATGAAATGAAGATTAAATTTCACATGAAAGTTTCTATTTATGATTATATATAACATTTGCATTACAAGAGAAAAATAGGATAAGGATTTTTACCTTATCTTTTGAGATTTACTTTTTCTTTTTAAATTGTAAATAATTTGAAGAACCAGTTTTAAGAAATACGTCTTTCAAAGCCATATAAAATTAATGGCGAAAATGAAAACATATAAGTCTGAGTTAACTTTAATTACTATTGAATATAATAGAAAATAAAATTACTATGAAAATGGAAGGAAATAAATTATTATTTCAAGCGGTATCAGCATTGATTTTCGAATTAATATGTACCTAGAATAGATATAATCAGACTATCTTCTTTTGCATTTTTTTCCATTTTTATTTCAATTCAATAGAGAAGAAATTTGTTGAATGAGTTGGTAAATTTTGGATTGAATGGAATCGACACATATATTGGCAAACGTGGAAAATAAGAAGAAACTAAATTACATTTAAGCTCCTAAGTCCTACTTTCAAAAAGTTTATATTGAAATATATTACAAATTACATATCATAATTATTTTAAGCATAAATATTTTATACCAAAAAAAGTATTAATATTGTGATTGAATTCAATAAGGCATGTTAATATAATCGTATCATTAATATATATATATATAAACTATACTATTTGTAAGGAACTCATCAATGCACCATATCAAGAACAAAATCACTTGTAAAAAAGTTGATATGTTTTTGTGTTCATTAAGTGTTTTTTTTTTCAAATAAACTTGAATATAATAACTATAAAAGAGGGACTTGTCATAAAAAAAAAAGGGCAATAACTTTGAATTTTGGTTTCTACAAATATTATAACTTTCAACAGACAATCATTTGCTTTAACTGGTCCAGGACATAGCCATGTTTGCTTCCAGGCCATTAAAGCAATGGCCTTTGGCCTCGTAAAAAAATATGTATATAAGGAACCTATTGATCTTTTCTTTTTTTTTTTTAAGAAATTAATTAATATCATGATCTTAATTATAGTATTAGGAATATATGAAATATTATTTGTCTTTCTATTAAGACCTTATCACTCGTGGAAAGTTACAGGGAAAAAATAGCTTTGCATATGTTTTGAAATTCCAAAAAAAAATGAAATAATTTTTTTTATCAACAACTGTTAAAATGAATATGAAACCCACTAACCTGGTCTTAATAAAAATTATACAATTCATAAATTATATAGCATCCTAAACTTTTATGATAATTTTGCTTTAGATCTCTAAACTTCTTCACACGCGCTGTTGAGGAAGTTGAATAAACATACCTTGACGTATCATCCTCGAGTCTTGGCATGTGTGGTATTTTCAAGGTACTTGTGAGGTTGTTGAGATGGATTGAAAAAAATAACTTTCAAACTTAATTTTTTTAAGGAGATTTTTTTTCCCCCCACATCGAGTCCAAAAAATGTGATTTTCCCTAGTGGACCCACACTGGAAAGGGCTTTTGATGGGACAATATGGCATGCCAAGTGTCACTCTCGCAATAAATATAATTTTTGCACCAAAAAATAGCTGTCTTTTTCCCTGGTAACGCTTTCCATTTCTTGCATTATAGACCATTTTCTCTTACGTACATTCCTTCGCCTCCAGTGTAGGCCTCCCGGGGCAGAATTTCCATCATCTCCTTGCAAAAGCCTTTCTGGAGATTGCATCTAAGTATGTTCCTGACTATTTCCAATGTGAACTAGGATTTAACCCTTGACATTTTCATTTTTCACTTGGATTTTACACAACGTCGTCCAATCAACGACTTCAAACTTGATTGAATGTTGCTTTAGGGTTGTGGTTTTGGTTGGCACATGGTTATTCATTATAATTCGGGATTTCTTTTTGGTTCTGTTCTTAACACAAGGGCCTTTGAATGAAGAGTTCGGTACAAATGATGTATTTTCAGAATATTTCCTATTTGGCGTCTCGAATTCCAAATTTTAGAAGCTTAGAACGATCGAGTTTAGTTGATCAGCTATTCTTACTACTCTCTGTTTAGTTCATCAGCATTTTTTACTATTCTATTAATGCCTGATAAAAAAGCCGTGCCTATTCTGTTGTTACAGTGTTTTGTTATCAATTTGGTTGTTAAAAAAGGATTCTTAAAAGATTTATTCTGGATGACTTTGTCATGAATTATTTGTTTATTATGTATTTGTTTGTGCTTACGATAGTTCATGTTCTTTCGAATTAACCTTTGCTGCTATATGTCTGGATAAAGTTGGGCCACATCAATTTTAGTACAATCCAGAAGCTGTTATTTCAGCTGTCTTTCTTCTTAATTTGAATTAATTTCTCTTAGGTGTGCATTAACACTTGATTAGTTTAACTCCATATGGCAGAATGGCTGTCAGCTTCACGTTTTGGGATGACTGTGCGGAACGCCAGGACTTGGAGGCCATGTGGAAGATACCAGAAGTGAACTCTGAATGGTTAAAAGCTGGAGAGTCAAAAGGAAAAAGGGTTCACCTCTCGAGAGATCCTGATGGACAGCCATATTTGACACAGACTGAAATGAGGGTAAACATATTTACTCTACTTAAAATAATGGTTAAGCTTGACATTGCTTACTGACTATTGTAACTTCTACTTACCCCGGGCTTATGAAGTTATTGATAAACATAAAACATTGTTTTAAAATTCAAGCTTTCTGCTATATGCTTAGATGCTACTGGTGCTTTCTGTCTTTCAAAATTTAATAATAGCCAAGCATCTTCTAAAAATTAGATCTAAAAAATTTATTGTTTGTTGAATCATTTGCATTTCCATTTTGGTTTCTTTTAAGGGGATATGTTCTCCTCCGCCCTTTACTTCTTTCTTTCTTTTCTCTCAAACTTTTATTTTATAAGAATAAAATGAAGTTTCTATTTCTTCTATGCATCTGGCTCATCTTAATATTATTTCAGAAAATGGGTGAATAAAGTTTTGAAATAGCATTCATTTGTTTGATAGGTGCAAAATACAGTAGCAGATAATGCTTGTAGATTTCTTTATCTTTTTTTTACCCTTGCATCATTCTGTGTGTATTTTCAGGCTGTAGCTGAGATTGTTATTGGGAGACACTTCTCCTCAAAGATAGATCCTGTATGTCTTATTTTATTTTTAAATTTTAAATCATATAATTTCATTATTCCTATTGATATAATATTATGAGTTAGAGTGGCGAATAGTCTAATACTAGATTAAATGCAGTGGACAATAGAAATAGTTAGATATTTTGGATGTTACTTCCTTTGAGAGCAACAATGTCAACAAGGTTTTTTTTTTTTTTTGATAGAGTGCAATGATGTCATGCAATTCATGTAGCCAATCACACCTAGAAAGATAAGGCTTCTTGTTGTTGATGATAATGATGTCCTTTTTGCTTTCAAGGTTGATATTTTTGTTGTTTTGTGCAGGCCATGGTTTGTGCAATTGCTGAACTGGAAAGTGATAGGCTCCTCCTGGTTACACGCTCTGAGGGTAAATCTAAGCAACGTAGATTTGGGCTCATGCAACTTATGCCAAATGACTCCGAGTGGCTGATAAGGTACTGGGTAGATGTTGTTTGCTTTTTTCATAATGCTAAAGTTTCTTAATTCTGTTTTTTTCAAGTAAAGTTGACTGCAGCTTACAGTGAATTAGGTTATTCTTCATATCTAGCAGAAGGGAATTCAGATGTCCTATACCGACCATTTATAAATGTATACTTTGGTGCTGCTTATATTAAGTGGTTGTCAAATTTTGAGGATACGTAAGTGTCATGTTCTTCATTTTCATCTGGTTGCCATGATGCTATATTTTTGAAATGTTTATTCTCGAGGAGCATTGTCTGCAGAGAAAGAAGTGAAGAGTTTATAGTAAGGGCATATAAAGGTGGTCCTAAGAAGGCAACTCACAAATCAACTTTGCCCTATTGGAAACGATATCTTGCAGTCAAAGAAAGTTTCCCATCAAGGTGGCTGCTTCCTTCTTCTTGATAGGTTGAAGTTAACGTAAAGAAATTGAACATTTTTTTTTTTTAACTTTTACAGCAGTTAATGTTTTAGTATACAAAATTAAATTATTAAGAGAAAAGAAAATAGTTCAAAGTACAAACGTTCAAGGAAACAAACGGCCAAGAAATAAATTTCTCCTGAAAATCAAAAGAATCTTTGTTTGAAAATTCTTTCATCATTCCAGCCATAATCAGCACAATCCAGCAAAAACATTTCACTGACAAATGATTTTTATGCTCCCTTGTGCCACCAAAACCTGTAATCAAATTGCTAAAGACTGGTCTGTAGAGGCTAGATAAACACAGTACACTTAGAAAGTGCTGACAGACAATTCAAAAGTTGACATGCAACTTCACGGTGTCCATAAAAACAGCAATTGTTTGGTTCCTTGCTCTGATAATACATAATACAAACATACAAAGAAATAGCCTTTTGGTTGGTTTGGTTCCCACTTAAATTGTTTTGCATTTTGACTGTGCCAATCATGTGATCGCAATCCAGTCAAAGGAAAAAAAATCATGTGATTACAATCTAACGAAAGTGTGAAATGCTGGCAGTACTAACATGGGAGACATTTCTAAATAATAATCGTGTATTAAATGAATTAGTATCTATTTGTTGGATCAGAATAAGTGAGTTTTTCAGGTTGACGTGTTATTACCATTGTGTCTTCCTTGCAATTGTGCAGAAAATCTGTTGATGATATTCCTTTGCAGAGCAATGCTCCTGTTGTATCTCCTGTACCTGCATCAGAAAATTCAGGTCATTTTCTTAACCTTCTCTGAAACACTTTTTCCCTCTATTTCTGCGCTGGATTAATCATGTAAGGTTGTCACTAAACTTATTTTGAATGGATAATTAGTTACTTTTGGCAGGGTGTATTCCTGCAGGTATCATTTCCTTGATTCTGTATTTCTAATTTACTTGCAACAATGGCTAGTGGTGTTATTTGTGATATTAATAAATTGAAAGAATGAGGGGCCCCTGACATAAATGGAAAAACCTAGGGAAAGAACTGGGCAGTTAGTTAAAGAAGTCAGGTGAATATTGCTACCTACAGTGCAAATTGTTAATAAAAAATCATATATTACTTTGGTGACAGAAATGAAATTGGTCTCCTTCAAATTGTACTTTGATCATTGTGTGATGACGGCCATAAAGTCAATGATTGATGACGTTTTTCTGGTTTAAACATTGTACTTGGGTGCTATTTAGGCTGGCGAATCTGACTGTGTCTTTGATGTAGGGACAAATGTTTACACATATTGGGACTCTAGAGCTTCTCCTGAAGACATGGAAGAGATGTGGAATCATCCTGAATTGCAGAAAGAGTGGACTAAATCTAAAGAGAAAAGGGGACAAGTGCGCTTTTCTCTGGATGAAAAGAACAGACCATATCTTTCACGGGTGGAAGTGAAGGTATTGTCATTAATTTTAAGATAACAGATGTGCCAATTGTTACCGTTTCTTTGTAGTCTTGAAGAAATAAAACTTACAAAAATATGAAGCACGTGAGTTCCCATGGCAAAATTTTTCTTCTTCCAGGCAGTAGCGGATATAATTTTATTCAAATACTTCAGTACGAAGGGAATAAAATCTGTAAGTATTTTGTCTGTCCAGAGGAGTTTAATGCTGCCAAACGTTGAACACAGTGATGCGGATTTTTCCTTCTTCCATTTTCTGGCTGGTTGCCAACATTTGCTATATGTATTTACATGAAATGTGAAAATGAAGATAATGACTCTGAAAAGCAGTCCAAATAACACAGGGCATGTTATAGACGTAATCCAAAGAAATTGCTGAAGTAGTGCAACATAATATTTAATGAGATATCATTACAAAAGATATTACTAGTTCAGAAACACCTTTGGCTGTTAAAACGTGTATCTATAATGTACCATGAATCAGGGAATGAACCGAGGAAATTCTTGCCCCTTTAATGGCCCATATATTCTTTGATGAAATTGAAATTTGAGAATTTTTAAAGACTGAAGAGGGGAGAAGATATTGCACTTTAGCAAGTATCTTGGTTATAATTGTCACAGTCCTGCTTGGTAGATTATGTTTCTACTGAATAATAATTTTCACTGATTTTACAGACAGTACTTTGTGCTATTTCGGAGGTTGTTAGCATGCGTTTTTTACATGGCATTGGAGGACGCCCAGGAATAATGGGGATTGACTATTCCACTGCTTTCTGGCTTTACGTGTATGTGTTGGACATATCCATGATTAAAATTCTAAAAGCATACGTGCCTGCATTCTTTTTGGGAGTGCTGGGAAATCATATCAAGATACAAGATTACTGTAAATCATTTTTTTTTTCAAAAAAAAAGCGGTTTCTTTAATGCTGTGATGACCTACTACTTCTCAGACAAGTAGAAGTGGTCATTGTCTGGTTGACTTAACCTAGTTCTAAAATTTAATTTTCTGTTTCATAAAGTAATATGTTCTCAGTTCACAATGCTTTCAGATATTCTTAACTATGTTTTGTTTGTCATATCAATGAATGAGAGGCTTTTGTTTTCCTGAAGATTCAGAACAAATGGGTATTACAGTCAGTAAGATGTTGTGTTCTGATAAAAAAGAAAAAAAGTGGTTGTTAATGCTTACATATTCTAGCAACTTCTATTTTGTTCAGGGAGATGGGCCACAGGGCTTATAGACTTGAATCTGTCGAAGATCTAACCAAGCCATTCGTGTCCATGTATTTTGGCGCTGCCTTTGTAGCATGGCTATCCGAATTCGAAGGGAGGTATGTCACTGACTACCCCTAAAATTGTCGACCATACTTCGACTTTCACTGACTCTTTTTTTCGACTTTCATCAGCTATTCAAATGGCAATACATGATGGCCACGTTTGGTATAGGAATTAAACAGCAATTGAAAAAAGAAAGTAAAAAAATGACCATTGTGACCTTGAAAAATCATGACAAAATTGAAACCGGAATTGTTCAAAATCCAACTGAATACTTAATAGACATAGCCTATGACTATTCCTGCTGTTTTTTTCCCCGGTCTATCCTATCTAAGGGGAGGTGGTTCCATACACATGCATCATATTGATCATGGAACCCCTTGCATCAAGGAATAAGGATCATGCCACTTGAGCTACAAGTTCTCGATGATATTCCTACTGTTGAGAATTGAATAATGATGCAAGACTAGTATATATCACCTAAAAGGGGATCTCATTTTCCGTGAGATACCATTCCCTCCTTTTGTTTTCATGCCAAGTGGCAAGTGCAGCCTAGTTGTTCTAAATCTCCTGTGCTGAATCTGGCACAAAAAGGGGAACTGTCAAGATGGAGAGGCCCACAAGGCCAGCCAACCCACTCTTTAAATGGGGTGAGCTAGGCGTGCATGCCACTAGTCCAAATGGTGACACATTTTGTAGCATATACTTAGAGCTATAAAAATATGTTAGTATTAACCTCAAAGAACAAGTCCAACCCAGCCTGTAAATAGTTTACTGTAGTTTGACTGGCTTATTGTCTACCTATACTAGATATGGGCTTTGTACTTTGCATGGGATTTGAGGCGAGTCATAATACTTATAAGATATGAATAACGCGACTTCTCACAGATTACACGCACATACACACAACACACATGATCTTATGAGAGCTGTTAGCTAGTTGTGGCACACAATAGTGCTTTTTGTGGAGCCGGAAGATGGGCTTTTTGTGCTGTCCACCCTCACCCGTCTACTTATTTGTTGACCATATGCCATCTCAAAAGAATTGACTATCCGTTGCTACCTTTCTGACCAAGTCATGCTCGATTTGATGATTGTAATTCAGGGAGAGAACTCCAGAGTTTGTTGTTCAAGCATATCTTGTAGGACCGAAGAATGTGAACCCTCAAGATACTGGTCCACTCCGTCTCAAATATGAGGAAGCTATTAGTAAATACGAAGAAATTAAGAGGTATGAAAGCATGACATAGTGATATTTAAAATCCAACACTAACAATTAATATTTAATGCCTTGATCTTTTGGCTCATCATATGGTTCTCTGCTCTTCATGCAGAAATCACGGGAGCTGCACCGTCATGTAAGCTCAAAATTGCCTTCCAGAGTATCAATTCCGAGGCCTCATCTCAAGTTTTTCTTTCTTTCCCTTTTGTTTTCTTCTTCGTATGTCATTTGTCATTCGCGAGCAGAGAAGAAATGAGCTAGAGAAGAATTTTAGACGGAGTGGGTATTGCTCAGCTTAGTTGAGTGTGTATTTCATCGAATAAATTTATCCTCCATTATATTCATCAGGTGTAAAGGATCTTAGCAGAAAGAATATTTACACAGCATTGAGAACAAAAGAGTGACGCACAGCTAATGACATGGGAAAAAAAGGTTATAAATACGCATGATTATATATTTGCACTTGGCTTCATTATCAAAGATCTCCACCAACTATTTTCCAGATTATAAGCCCAAAGTTCAGAGGCTATCGATCTCTGGTTCTTGAGCTAAATGTTAATGCCTGTTTAGCTGCACCAGCTTGTTTAAATGCCAATATCGAGTTTGTTCTTCGAATTCTTATTGCAGAATGATTAATGTCGTAGTATGGAAGAATCACCGATATTTATTCTTACAATATACAATACTAGGATGACATATGAAATGCGGTAATTGTGAAGAGTGCGTATAACATTGCATAATGTACTATCCTTTTTATAAAGTTATATTAACTACTTTCATGAGATTAAGAAGGAAAATTAATTAAATAAAAAATTTTACAACTTCTTAAAATTATCATTGTATTGGCTCAAGAGGGCATAATTTTTACGAGTCACAAATGTTTTATCAAACTTGGTAATGGTACATATTAAGGACTATTATTGGGTAGGGTCTAATAAATAAATGTATGTTACAAGTTACCAACAAAAGTATAAAATAAGTTAAACTTCATGTGTTCAATTCAAATTACAAATTTAATTTCGATTTCATTTACATCATAAAATATTTTTATTAATTTATAAGTCATTCTAAAATATTTCCAAAATATTTATGTACTTCGAATTTTATTATAAAGGGGAGGGATCAGGCCAAAGGGCTGCGGGTATCGAAAATATATGGAAAAATTGAGATAAGGGGAGTTATAGCCCCCTAACTTTTAATTTTTCTTAATAAAATATAAGAATTATATATCTTCGATCTTGTAAATTAGCGCATTACAAAAGCTTGTAGACACTAGAAGGGAGTTCTTATTTCAATTCTACATCTAGTATTTTACACATATAATGCAATTATATAACTTTAGTTTTCGAAGATATAGTTGTTATAAAATATCTTTCACATTCAATTAAAAAAGTTATGAGAATTATTAATGATAAATTTTGTTAAGATTACAATAAAAATTTCAAGATATATTGAATGTTATGTGCTTGATATTTACTATAAAATCACTTATTTAAAAGTTAAGAAATTATGGTTAGGATGTTTTTATAAAAAAATTTACTGTTTTTTTAATAATAGCCAAGTTGTTGAAATTAATGATATGGATGGTTTTCATACTGATATAATTTGATGTTATCAACATTAAGATTTTATGATAATTGAGCATCATTATTATGTTGATATATTTACTAATATTGTCAATTATCAATTGAAAGGATTAAATAGTAAATTCAGTAAGTAAGTAATAGAACTTTGTAAATTGAATAATTTAATAAAATAGAGAAAATAATATTGTAATGGTTTTTTTTTGAAGTAGAACAATCATAATATTAAATAAGGAAATAAAAAGGTTGTATATAGCCAAATTGTTATGCCTTGTAAATAATACCGTAAGGAAAAATAGCATCCAAAGACCTCAATAGTAAATTAATATCAGTCAAGGATCAATTAACTTCAAAATTATACTGCAGTCCCTTGGTCTTTGACTGATATTAATTTTTAAAGTTAAAAGTCCAAACTAAGTTAAAAAAAAAAAGAAACCCCCATCATTGTTGGTCGTCAAACTAGTACTGGGCAAACGAATTACGGGCCAGCTTGCAGGCTAGTCCGTGCGAGTTGGCATTTTTATGGGTTGGGTTGGGCTAGCTCACCAGATAAAACATGCTGAAAAATCCAACCTAACTCATTTTCTAGCGGGCTAGCTAACCTGTCGGTTGGCCCGTAAAAAATTATCAATTTTTTTAATAATTTAAAATTTATATAATATAAATATATATATTTATTTCATATTTTAAAGCAAATTAGCAATTTAAAAACTTGTAAATAAATAAAATAAACATAAAATTCAATCAAGTAAATTCATTTTGTTAGATTTTTACTATCAATTATCTTCTCACCTAGGTGTACTATCTTTATCACTAAGAAAAAAAATTTGAATATAAACCTATATTATTTTTCTCAGTAAATTTATATTTATAATTTTAATCAATAGATCTTATGAGATTAATCAATAATATATATTTAAAACATTTCTATAAAAACTAATAAATCATCTTCACAAACTATAATAAAAATTTTATTTGCAAATTGTAAAAAGAATTTACACTATATTTCAAATGTAAAAAACATATTTGAAAGTCATAAATTATATATTTAAGAAATATTATCATTATTTTATATTTATAAAAAGATATAATGTAATTAAAAATAATTTTTTTTAAAATATGCTAGCCCACGGGCTAGCCCGTTTTAGCCCGTTATTTTTGCAGGTTGGGCTAACCTAACTTATTTTAAAAAACGGGCCAATTTTTTCAACCCAACCCGTCAAATTGTGGGGGTTAAACGGGTTAGCCCGCGGGCTCAACCCATTTTCTCAGCTCTACGTCAGGCCACCGTTAGTGGTAAGGTCACCAGACCCCCTTTTACCCACGACTGGTCACTAGAGCTCCAGAGCCAGTGACATTTTTATTTAAGAAATAATTAGTTTAGGTGGCTAAGGGAGCGTTTAATCCCATAACTCTTAGCCACCTAATGATTACTAAGCCCTTTAATTATATGTGACAATATATATATATATATATATATATAAGTAGTAAACCAAGCTTCTAACTATTTTTATGTCATAACATAATGGTGTGTTGTTTTTTGAACGGAACTTGCTATTTTACAAATGTTACTTGTTAATTAGACAAGGACAATTATAAATTAGGCTAGGCTAAAGCTTGAACAGACTGTTATTAATTTAAAATAAGTTGTTATCAAAACCTAAATTGATACTTGTTGATGAAAGATTAACACATACAATTATACTCAAAGGCAATCAGCGAGAATTGGAGCTCTTTGTGCCATGAGCTGTTGTAGAAGGTTGTTGCGTCGTGATGTACGATAAAAAATCTACATTAATTAGTTCATGTCTGTGTGCAAAATCAAAAGAGAAAATAGATAAAAAATAAAAGGCACGCCCATTGCTCTGCTAGGCCATGTCAGTGATAACTTGAAGCTTTCTAACACCTATGGTAAGTGTAATGTGCTTCCTTCCTCCTTTTACTTCCAGTATTATGAGGAGTTGAGTTAGAGTTTGAGTGTTAATGGTGATTTTTAGTTCATATGAGTTATGAGTCCAAACCTATTAATTAAAATAAATGTAATGGAAGTTGTTTAGGGTATCTAAACCCAACATTAATGGTTTTGTGGGTGGTTAGTTAGGGGAAGCCATTAATATCCAAATGTTGTAATAAATAAGGTTGTTAGGATATTTGATGCTCAACAACGAAGGTTTAATGACTTATTAATAAAAATGTGGGTCAATGGAACCTAATAAACCCATTGAGTATGATGGGTAGTGAATTTATGAGGTTGATAAAATGGAGAATGCGGAGTTTAATGTTGGTAATTTCCCAAGAATGAGATAATGATGATATTCTTATGATAGGATTGTAGAGTAACTTATTTGGCACCATTCGAGCTTGGAAAGAAGTTTTGAAAGTTGGAATTGTGAGGGGTAAGCCTTTGACCTTTTAAAGGTTTGAGGTAACCTGGAAAAATCCAATTTATACAGTTGTATGTTAATTAGATAATTGTTAAAATTAATGAATTGAAACTTATTTAATGTTTAGAAAATTATTGATGCAATTATGGCAATGTGATGTATGAAACATGAAATTGCTTTGAAAAGTGAAGAATTTTATGCATGATGTATAAATGTGTTTAATGTTGATTGTTGACAATGCGATATGATAAAAATGTACTACATGTGATATTAATGATGTGGAGTTTGTTGGGAGAGTAATCGATGTGAATATGATATATGATTGTGAATTTTGTCACAAGTGCATAATATGTGTTAACATATGCATAGCATAATCATTGGCGGGAGTTCGCCTAGAGAGAGGAGTAGTTTAGTAAATTCATATGATATTAGCAGCAACCATTGGAATGGGAAGCTTGCCTTGGCACTGATTGTTGGAATTGAGAGGTAGCCTTTGTCCTATGGTTAATTCAAGACTATCCCATTTATTCTATGAGGGACTCAAACTTAACTAATCTCCACTGGTTTATGAGGAGGCTAGATTAGGCGTAAGACACTTCATGGTTGTTAGTATTAGGAGAAACTGCAATACATAAATGAGTGAGTTGACCTTGACTCAGTAACTTCTCACGAGTGGAAGGCTGGGTTACTTTATAATAAATGTAGCCACTAAGTAGTTACCAGTTTTATGTTAGAGATAATAGAAGAGTATAAGGCTGGCATTTAGTCATGTATATAGTTCATGCCATATGGTTATTATTATTGTGGTTTGGTATGTTGTTAAGGGCACATGGTTGTTAGTTTTGTGACCCCAAGTTATGCATAATGTCTAATATAATGATGATACATGTCTTATGTAACATTGTGGATTTTAAATCTAGGAATTTTAAGTATTTAGAAGGGTATATTGGTAAGAAATTAAGTGAATTTTTGATCAATGATGTTTTTAAAAGACTAATATAGCTAATGAATTATTAGATAGCCTTAGAAGAGGGATAGATTAGAGTTCGAGTAGGTCATGACATGGAGAGAGGTTCAATACGTGTGTGGGACTCTTTGTGCCATGCGCTGCGATGCATGTGCAAAAATATATACTTATTAGTTTGTGAAATTAAAATGAAACTAAGAAGTAGGATAGAGTAAAAATGAGAGACGATGGAGGACGAACTTATGCCTGCTAGGGAATAACTTTTTGTCCTTTTTTAGAAGCATTTGGGAGGTTGGTTATTGCTAGGTAAGTTTTTTATCCTCCTCTTTCCTCTTATATTGAAATTTTTTGAGGTTTGGGGTTTTGTGTAACTGTGATTTCGTTGTTCTTGGGTAATGATTGAACCCATGGGCCTAAATAAGGTTTTAGAAAGTTAAATCAAGCTTTTAAACCTAGGTTTATGGGTTTTGTATGGATTTAAAATTTTTGGTTAGA